TCAAGCTTACCTGCAAAGAGTTCTCCAACAATCCAAGAAAGACAGATGATTCTTGTTGGAGATTCAATACTCTGAAGAATTCAATGACCATTCTGCAACGGACATGAGGACAGCAGAACAGAGTGCTGCCTTCCTGGAGCCAAGACACAAGAATCACTCTAAGATTGGACAGGCTTCTGAAGTCTACAGGCAAGGATCCATTGGTGATGGTTCATATCAGCGCTAATGACAGTATGTTTCAGGATCTCTTGCAGAAAACAGAAGACCTCAGGGAATTCAGAAGCATGCTGAAGAAGAATGTCTAAGCCATCCTCTCTGAGATCCTTCCTGTCCCACAAGCAAGGGAAGACAGAAGACAAAAGATTCCAGAAGTAGAATTGCTGCCTTGGTGTAGTGGGGAGAGCTTTGGTTTTGTGGAACTTTGGTCCATCTATGGGGATAGAGTAGAAGGGGAACCAATCTCCCTGGGCATAGGCTGGCTAGAGTAGTAAGGAGGGAAACTAACTAACAGCAAAAGGGAAGGGTCAAAAGAGTGAAGATATAAACACTGAGTTAGCACAAAATATAGATGTTGAGAACAAAATTAATCAAGTAAACAAAGGAATGAAGATAAGAAATTCTTGAATTGCCTATACAGTAATGCTAGGAACCTGGGTAACAAACAAGAGGAATTCAAATTGCTCATATATGAGTATAATTTTGATCTAGTTGGTATTATTGACACCTGGTGGGATGATTAGCACAATTGGAATGCTAAAATCAATTATTATAACATATTTAGGAAGGATCAAGTGGACAAAATGGGAGGGGGAGTTGCTTTTGCTAGCTGACCTTGACCCAGCATCCATCTGCACCAGCTCACAGCCGCAATGAGTTGCCCGATGACCTCCTGACAATGCTGCACATTTTGATTAACACACTAGAATGAGAAAATTTACATGGCACACACTAATTGGATTCAAAACTAGCTAACTGAAAGGTCTCAAAATGTAATTGTAAACTGGGAATCATCATCAAGTGGGTCTATTTCCAGTGGGGTCTAGCAGGGATCTGTTCTTGGCCCTACACTATTTAACATCATTATCAATGCCCTGGAAGGCAAAAAAAATCATCACTGATACAGTTTGTAGATGACACAAAAATTGGGGGAATGGTAAATAGTAAACAAGACAGGTCACTGATTCAGAGAGATCTAGATTGCTTGGTGAACTGGGCTCAAGCAAACTATGCATTTTAATACGGCGAAGGGTAAATGTATACATCTAGGAGCAAAGAATGTAGGCCATACTTACAGGATGGGGGACTATGTTCTGGGAAGTGGTAAGTCTAAAGAAGATTTGGAGGTAATGGTGGATAATCTGATGAACGTGACCTCCCAGTGAGACATGGTGGCCAAAAGAGCTAATGCAATCCTGGGATGCATAAACAGGAGTAGAGAAGTTATTTTATCTCCATATGGTTCACTGGTGCAGCTGCTACTGGAATACTGTGTCCAGTTCTGCTGTCCACAATTCAAAAAGGTTGTTGATAAATTGGAGAAGATTCAGAGAAGAACCACAAGAATGATTAAAGGATTAGAAAACATGCCTTATAGTGGTAGACTCAAGGAGGTCAATCTATTCAGAGTAACAAAGAGAAAGTTAAGGGTGACTTGATTAGAGTCTATATGTACCTACATGGGGAACAAATATTTAATAATAGGCTCTTCGATCTAGCAGAGGAAAGTATAACATGATCCAATAGGTGGAAGCTGAAGTTAGACAAATTCAGATGTGTCAGGGACCAGACCAGCTAGGAACAACTGCTGTCCTGCTCCCAGATTAAGTGTGCTGCTAGGCAACCAATGAGCCCAGCTGCATTGCCTTAGACCAGAGGTTCTCAAATTGTGGTCCGTGGACCACCAGTGGTCTGCGAGCTCCATTCATGTGGACCGCGGATAGTTCCCTCTAAGGTGCATGCTTGGGCGGCCGCACACGAGAGAATGAAGGGCCACCCAGCTAATTAGTGGAGCCGCGCAGGCATGGATCTATTAATTAGGTGCCTGGACCCTGGAGAAGACGCACATGTAAGGTGAGGTGGTGGCCTTGGGGGGAATAGGGAGTAGGTGGGAGGGGCAGTGAGGTGAGAAGAGGGGGTGGGGGAAATTTGGGACATGCAGGGCTGCGGTGGCCAGAGAAAGAGGCGACTTTCCCCAGCCCCAGGGCTGTGGCCGCCGGCGAGAAACAGCCCTCCTTCCCAGCTCCAGGGCTGCTGCAGTGGGGGAGAGAAGGCGCATCCATTGCATTAGAAAGGTAAGACTACTGATATTAAAATATGAGTTTTGTGCTTTTATTTGTAGAACTAAAAAACGTTTATTATTATTAAGGTTTTTTTTTAATATAGTGCTTTTATTCAAAGCGCTTTACAATAGTTAGCTAACGGTACAAACAACATTTGGAAAGATCATTAAGTGGTCCGCCAAGACCCTCAGCAATTTTCAAGTGGTCCATGGAAAAAAAATTTTTTTGAGAATCACTGCCTTAGACCTCTTAGACACTCACAGCTCCTGACTGACTCCTGGTTTAGCTGGGCTGCTTAAAAGCCTGGCCCCCACAGCAGTTCATAGGCTGCTCAATGCATACTAGACTCACAGCAGAGCTTGCCCTTGTTCCAGTCCTTCCTCCTGCTTATTCCAGTTCCCTGCTCCTGCTTGTCTCAGCCTGCGTCCAGTGTATGCTCCTGCCCGGCTCCCCATTAGCTTCAGTGTTTTGGTTTCGAACCCTGGGTTTGCCTCTGCTGGCTTATGACTCCAGTTGACCCTTCTGTTCCGGCATTTGGCTTCTGCCCCTCTGGTACTGATAGATCAGCTTGTTTCCTGTACTCCACTCACCCTGGACCCAGCTCTAACTCGTAGGTTGAACTCTTGCCTTCACCACTAGGCATGACTGCCCATGGCCTGGTTGGTGACAGACTGGAAATAAGGTGTGATTTTTTTTTAAGGGTGAGAGTAATTAATGATTGGAACAATTTACCAAGGGTCATGGTGGATTCTTCATTACAACAATTTTTAAATACAGGTGAGCTGTTTTTCTAAACAATATGTTCTCAGAATTTATTCTGGAGGAGTTTTCTGGCCTGTGTTATACAGGAGGTCAGACTAGATGAACACAATGGTCCCTTCTGGTCTTAGTATCTATATTTAGAATTCAATACAATCTTGATATATTGCAGAATTGGTATGACACCAACAGGATGAAACTCAGTAAAGACAAATGCAAAATACTGCATTCATGAAGAAAAAATGACAAGTACAAAACGGGGAATAACTAGCTAGGCAGTGCTGAAAAGGATCTGGGGGTTACGCTGGACCATGAACTGAATATGAACCCCCTGCTCTAAAGTGCTAGTAACCCCTTCCAGTTTGGTGTCATTCACAAATTTGATAACCATACTTTTCACTCCATTATATGACATTAATTAAAATACTAAATAGCATTGGACCCAGGAACACATCCCTGTGGGACCCCACTAGATATGTACTCCCAGTTTGACTGCAAACTATTGAAAACTACTCTCTGAGGATAGTTTTTCAACTAGTTGTGCATCACCTTATAGTAATTTCATCTAGACCACATTTCCTTTGTTTGCTTATGAGAACATCATGTGGGACTTGTTTTTGTTTTAATGGAGATATCCTATCTCCTAGAACTGGAAGGGATCTTGAAAGGTCATCGAGTCCAGCCCCCTGCCTTCACTAGCAGGACCAAGTACTGATTTTGCCCCAGATCCCTAAATGGCCCCCTCAAGGATTGGACTCACAATCCTGGGTTTAGCAGGCCAATGCTTGAACCACTGAGCTATCCCTCCCACCTTTGACTGCATCAAAAGCCTTAATAAAATCGATATATACCACACGTATTGCTTCTCTCCTATCCACTAGGCCAGGAAACCTGTCAAAGAAGGAAATTAGTTTGGTTTGGTATGATTTGTTCTTGATAAATCCACATTGGCTATTATTTATTGCCCTATTACCCTCTAGGTCCTTCAAATTAATTGTTTAATAAATTTGTTCCAGTATATTTGCAGATATCAAAGTTAGGTCAACTGGTCTATAATTCCCCAGGTCCTCTTTGTTCCTCTTTTTAAAGATAAGTACTATGTTTTCCCTTCTCCAGTCCTCTCGGATATCACCCATCCTCCATGAGTTCATGAAGATAATCACTAATGGTTCCAAGACTGCTTCAGCTAGTTCCTTAAAGACCACAGGGTGAATTCTGTCAGGCCCTGCCAACGAAATTATGCATCTAGAGCTCTTCCAAAAATGCCTTCTCAATGGCATTCCACAAAAATGGGATGGGGGAAACTTAGAACTAAGAAGTCATTGACAAGGTTTTAACCATGGGCCTTGCCACCACCTGAATCTTGAAGGCAGTTGCACCCTGTCTGCACAAAAGCTAGCAGCAGCGGTCTTCGCTGAAAGTATCCCTGTAGGTTTTTACTGGACGTGAGGGGCAAGAATCTAATGAACAACCAGTTGGGCATAGCTCCTTCAACATTTCAGAGAAGAAAATGTATTTCTATCTTCCTGCACTGATTTTACCTGTGACAACAACCAAATCATCCTAAATCACAGCTTATCTTTTTCAGCAAAGTAGATAAAGATACTCTTAAAACTCAACTCTTTAACAGAACTAAGGCAGCCAGATTAATTAGATTACCAACCAACTTGAACAGTTTAGCTGGATCAAATTTTGCTGATGCTAAGGCAGAAGAAGAGAGACTTCTTTGCCTCTATCAGTCACAGCAGAAGAACGCAAACAATGGCTTGGAAGTTCTAGCGTTCACTGAAAGCAAGAGCTATTTCTCATTAAAATGTAATGACCACTTGCCTCTTGCTTGCTGCAGCCTACCAAAATAAAATTGTGTACAAAGCAAGCATATACTCTTCAAATTCTGTTTGACAAAAGGTACGTGGCATTTCCTGAAAGGTGTGTCATGTAGCGCACACATTTAATACTTACATCAAATTCATTTAGTGCCGCAGCAAGTTCTCCAATACCAGTGTGCCCCTTGTTCTCATCGGTTGGTGAGGTGGCCTGTGCAGCATTGGAGATACCAGCTATTGCTTCTTGTACTTGTTTGAAGACATAATCTCTGTTGGCCCTAGTGGCTGCTACATCAGGGTGACGGAGAAACGCTTGAGATGCTGTGTAGAGCATAGTAGCATTCTTCTTCAGAGCACCTCGAGCAGCAGCCATTTCATCCCTACAGTGAGGATCTTTCAGTTCCTGTACAAAAACATACGTACACTGTACAGTTATATAATGAAGCTTTAGCATTAGAGTTAGGGTGACTAGACAGCAAAAATCAGGACGGGGGTGGGGGAATAATAGGAGCTTATATAAGAATAAGTCCCAAAAATCTGGACTGTCCCTATAAAATCAGAATATCCACTCATCCTAATTAGAATATGCTACACCCACAGTTACAATGTTTATTCATATATACTCATAAGTAGGGCCCTGTGGTCCTGATTCTGCAGCAATGGAATCCATCCCAGAATTTACCAGTTATGTCACAACAAAATGTTCTTCCTGCCCTAGAAAACCTGTTTTTTGTTTTGATTTCTTTTGTTTTGTTTTTCTTCTGTTATAACAGGTCGGCCACATGGAAAAATGGATGAAAATAAGAGGAAAAAGCTAACGATCTGAAAATGAAGGAAAACTTCTGGGCAAAACATCTAAAAGAACAGCAGCAAGACACACAAAAAAGATAGCACGGAATGCTAGTGGACCTCAGGGGAAGAAGAAAAAGAAAGAGAGGGTGGCAACTACATGGAAATATGAATATTCTTAAACACCAGGGAAATTATTAAAAATATTTTAAAAAAATAACTGACGTAGAGAAAATATACAAAATATGTATGAACTAGAAACATGCGTGATGTCAAAAGAAGAAGGAAAGAATCATATCCAGGGTGGAGAAAGAAACACACACAAGGCAATATTCCTGAAAGATGGCCTTCTCTGCAGTGTGTGTGGAAGTATATTGTTTCTAAATTGTGTTGCACATTAAAAATTCTCTGTAAATTGTTTATTGAAATAATACACTGTAGAGATATTTTGCGGCAGCACTATAATCTGTTCTTTTTTCTCTATTAGAAGGTGTGGAGACTGATTGGAAGCAGCATTGGCTGGGAGGAGGCCTAGCTATGAACAGCCTAGAGAATGCACGTGTCTTCTCCTTCCTTTATTTACCATCTCTAGAGGAAAATCTACTTTAAAGATCTGTAACAGGGCAAGCCTGCTCTCATTGATTGGGCTGCTTAGGTGAAAGCTATATGCTGAGTGGAGGGGAATGCATAACAGTGAGACCCTATGACGTCTGCCCCTATAAGGACCCAAGGTTGCAGTAATCATCAGCTTTGTGTAGGCTCTAAAAGGGAAAAGTCTGACCTTCTGCACAGACATATGTGATTTTGGATGCTGAATCATTTTTGTCACATTCATGTCTTCTATTTTTTATTTCTTTGTTAATACAAAAAATCAGATTATCTTTTTAATCATCTGAAAACTAACTATGTTGTTTGTGAGCATTCATAATAAATTCCTGTTCCTTCTGAAATGGAAAGACTCCTGTTACATTAGACTACCAGAGAGCTCTATCCATATGAACAACTTTTTTTTGTTTAAAAAAAAAAAAGGCAAAATTTTTCAAATAAATGGTTTCTAATGTTAGGCACCTAAATATGTGGGATAATTTTCAGGAGACTAAGATCCTACCAACTCCCTTTGATTTCCATTAGTAGTGTTGGGTGTTTTGAAAATTAGAGCACTTATGTGATAAATGAAGGGAGGGGGGATAGCTCCCTTTTATGGGCACCCAGCCAGCCAGTAGCTATAAAATCCCTCTTAGTAACTGTTCTCTAATCGCCCTGTAAAGGGTTAAAAAGTCTCACTGCTATGCATAGGTAAAAGGAAGTGAATGGGCATATGGCCAAAAGAGCCAATGGGAAGACTAGAACTTTTTAAAATTGAAAAATGATTCCCCCTTTGTCTGTCTGTGGTTGTTCTCCCAGAGAGAGGGGACAGGGCAGAGCTATGTTGTAAGAAGCTTGGGCCAGGTATGAAAAATCATCAGTATCATACCTAGAAACTGCTCATTTAAAACCCCAGATATGTAAGTCGATCAGGAAATGTTTAAGAAGATGAGATTAGGTTTATTCCTTTTATTTCTTTATGGCTTGTGGATTCCTCTGTGCTAACTCCAGGTACTCTTGTTTTGCTTGTAACCTTTATGCTGGACCTCAAGAAAGCTATTCTTGGGGCTTCATCCTTGTAGTTATTTCTTCTAAAATCTAGCAATAGCCTGAGTTCCCAGATGTATTTTCTTTCTGTTTTTTTTAAATAAAATTTACCTGTTTTAAAAGCAGAATTGGATTTTTGTGTCCTAAGAGGTTTGTGCACATGTTGTTTAATTAGCTGGTGGCAACAGCTGATTTCCTTTATTTTTCTTTCTTAGCTCTTCCCTGGTGGGGTGGGGGTAAAAGAGCTTGAGGGTACCCCACAGGAAGGAATTCCCAAAGGTGCCTTCCTGGGCTCTCAAAGGGGTTCTGCACTTGGGTGGTGGTAGCATCTACCAATCCAAGGTTAGAGAAAAGCTGTAACCTTGGGAGTTTAATACAAGCCTGGAGTGGTCAGTATTAATCTTTAGAATCCTTGCGGGCCCCCACCTTCTGCACTCGAAGTGCCAGAGTGGGGAATTAGCCCTAACAACTTATTTAGGTGCCTAAATATGAATTTAGAAGCCTAATTTTAGACCATTTTTGAAAATCTGTCAGAACATTTTTGTAAAGAAAATATTATATTTATAAATAACACTTCATGTAGACCACCACACAATGATCAGATAGTGACCTCCAGTCTCTACTGACCTGGACTGGATTGAACTCACCACTAGATAACGTAATTTCCTTGGTCATTTACTCTCTTACTCTTTAAGTCATTCTTAATTGAAGCATTGTTTTTCAAGATTTTCCTTTTTAAAAAAAAACACTTCTAAAGAAAGGCAACTGTGAATTGGAAAATGAATAGGCTTAAGATATAGGTAACGATATAATAATTATTGACAGATCTGATGATGCAAAGCAGAAACAACATTTCTTTGAACACGATAAAAACCCAGGTTATTTTATACGACTGAATTTTCACACCCACTGCTTTACAATTTACCCACCTGTTGTCTTCTAGCAGCCACATAGTTAAGTTTCACCATCTCTTTCCCAAATTCTTTAAAACGATTTGCTAGGTCTTGCTCATTTGTTGCGTTCTTCACAGCTTCCAGTGCTTCTTCTACCTAAAATTTAATAGATGACATTTATTAGAGTTTTAATCCGGCTCTGTCACTTTTCCCACCTTGACCAAGTCACTAACCATTCTATGCCCCAGTTTCTCATAGGCAAATTTGACTCTCAGTTACACCAATGTACAGTAACTCTGGAGTAATTCAACTGACCTCAGTTTGGTTTAATAAAGCTAATACAAAAACTTTCTCTTAATGTGGTTCTGAATTACTTTTCCTTCTTTGCATGCCACTATAATACATACTTTATATAACAGTCATTAGTTTAGACACTGTCTTATTCAGATATACTTCCTAGATTAAACATGTTTAATATCTGTGTCATTTTTTTTATTGGCCAGACTTGCCAAGGACCTACATTCAACTGTATGTAATTTCTCTGTTCTCTGTCTGGATGTCGGTCTGTCTGTAATGCAATAACTGACGAATACCATACCCAATCCATTACAAAATTTCAGCGGATATTCTAGGCATCAATGGCCTAAACTCTATTGATTTGGGGGGAAATTGGAAAACCAAAAGGAGAAAAATGGGGGACCACAAGGATCCTGTGTCATCTGATTAGCAAAGTAACAGCTACAATCAGCTCTGCAATTGTCTATAGAGCAAACAACTGGATGATGGTACCATTAATGCCAGCCAAGAAAACAATACCCATATCCAAGCTCTGCCTATCCTCCCCATGGAGTTTAATAAGCTGACACCCTGAAGGACTTATCTCCCAGACTGAAAGAAAACTAATAACTACTGTGGGAGCAAGGCGAGGGAGACCTGGGGGAATAGCACCCATCTCCTGGCATGGGAGGAAAATTGGGGACTCAGGTAACGGGGAGGGGGAAGTCTGGCAAAGCAGAGATTGGAGTAGCCTGGCATGGGGGAAGTGGGAAATGGAGGCACACATGGAGTCCCAGCAGACACAAAAGGGTGGGAATGAAGGACCCTGGAATGATGCGAGGAGGACATTGCACACGCAACTACTGGTGGGGGGCAGATTGAGAGAATCAGATATGGAGGAAAGGGGCACACAGAACCCCTGGCAAGAGCAAATTGGGGGGAGTTGCAGGAGTCCCTGCAATAGAGAGGGATAGGAGGGTGGCACACAAGGAACTTGTGGGGTGGAATGGAGGGATGTAAGGAGCCCGTGACATGTGAAATAAGTCTAGTCAACAGAAGTTACTAAGTGTGTGACCCCCCAATTATAAACAGAGAGAACAATTTCTTAACTGTGTATGTGTAGTATAGGCTTTAAATGAAAACTAAGGGTATGTCTCCTGTAGCATTTTTGTCAGTAAAACTTACATCACTCACGGGTGTGAAAAAACACCCCTCTGAGAGACAAAAGTTACACCTACAGAAGCGCCGGTGTGGACAGTGCTATGTCACTGGGAGACACTCTCCCGCTGGCATAGCTACCACCACTTGTTTAGGTATGTTGGCACAGAGCAGCTACACGGGAAATCTTATAGCGGCGCATCTGCATCAGTACAGCTGTGCCACTGTAAGGTCTCTAGTCTAGATGCGGCCTGAGGCTAATTACAGCATATGGGAACAAATCAAAAGCAAAGAAAATTAAACTTACTGTTGAAACTAAATGTATAGAGTACCCTGTGTCACATAGCTAACATAGCATCTTTTTAAATGTAGTAAAAACAGGAGGCCCAACATGGAAAAGTAACTGTGGCATAAGAACTAGTTTGGGGCTTCATTTTCTATTTTTTCTCCTGTTCTCAAATGTGTTGCATTTACTTTTACATAAAAAAGCAGAACTTCCTCTTCATAGTGATTCAAATTTGTTCAGCAAAAGGGGTGAAGATACGAAGCTCCTAGATGTATTACTAAGTGCCCGCCTAGTACAGCTATCCCAAACTTACCAGCCCCAGCATAAAAGCTGCTTACCATCATGATTATAATCAAAAGATTTAAAATGCTTTATTCATCCTGGAAATAAAATTACCCGTCCTGTGAGCAAGTGGGCAGTGAAATTTTGTGAACTTTTTCTGTCATTTGAGAGATGAGTGAAATTCCCAGCAGATGGGTTTAATCAGTGAACGTAGATCTATCCTGATCTGTCTCAAGTTGAATTAATGAAATACTTAACTGGAACAATAGGTGTTGTCAATCTGGACATGCCGTTAACAGCAGACACATGAACCTTCCTTTTTCAGAGGAAAGGTTATTTAATTCCAATAGGGACTTGTTCCTAATAAAGGATTTAGCGCTCTATCTTGGTCTCTGTAAAGTCTCTGGGACCTCATCAACGTCAATAACAAGAGCAGGCATCTAATTAATTTAGGCAGGGTTTAAAATATACAGGGTCTGCTTCACTGCTAACTTGTACCTCGTGTTATTTTTACCTTGCAAAGTGACTGTAAAAGGTTGGCACCAGTCCGAGCGCATAATATTCATTCTGTCACGTTTTGCACCCACAAAGGCTGCACAACGTGCAAGGCCACGGAGAATCAGGCTCACAGAGTCCTGCAGAGAAATCCTTTGGCTGGCAATTTAAATGCACAGCTGTTTCCTGGAGGTGTTACGCCACATCTAACTGTTATAAGCTGCACTTTGCTTTTGTGGTCGAATCAATCTGAGCCTGTATCATCTCATTTCTTACCCATAAACTGAACAACGATGTTCAAATACTAACTGCCATGACAGCTCCCAAAATTAGTATGAAAACTATATTGTATTGTCTAATTTGTTCCTGCTATTTATCTACCACCACTTGAAATACGAACCCTCAAGCTTTCGAGCCATGCAGGTATGTTTACACAGCAAAGAAAGATCCGTGGCTGGCCTATGCCAACCAACTCGGGCTTGTAGGGCTTGGCTGTGGGGCTGTTTCATTGTGGTGTAGACTTCTGGGCTTGGGCTGGAGCCCAAGCCCTGGGACTCTCCCTTCCTACAATGAAAACAGCCTCAGAGCCCGAGACCCGCGAGCCTGAGTCAACTGGCATGGGCCAGCCACAGATTTTTCTTTGCTGTGTAGATATACCCACAGAGTTCTTCTTCAGGTCTGGGAAAGGAACTCCCAGAGCCACAGCAAAATGCAAAGTGGAACAGATTGTTTGGCATAAGTAGTTAGCACATATTGTAAGGGGCCATTCAAGGCAGAGTGCCCCATTATCACCTGTGCAGTCATAGGAGAAAAAGATGGGGTTACTGGGTTACAGATTGTTGTAACAAACCATAAATCCAGTGTTTCTGTTCAGTCCATGATTTTTGATGTCTAGCAGAGCAATGAATTTAAGCTCCCAGGCTTGTCTTTTGAAAGTGTTGTGGAGGTTTCCTTTGAGGATGAGGATTGATAGGTCAGATATAGAGTGATCGCTTTATGAAAAGTCTTCTGCCGCGGGGGATATGGTCTTTTTTATCTTTAACCGTTTTCCTTTTGTGAGTTAACTTCAGAGCATAGTGATTGTTTGGTTTCACCCACATAATTGTTATTGTGGCATTTATTGCACTGGGTGAGGTATAGTACATGTTGCAATAGGCATGTGTAGGATACATGCATCTTGAAAGGTGTGCTGGGGGGGTGGGATGCTTATTGTAGTAGTGACAGGTTTCAGAGTAACAGCCGTGTTAGTCTGTATCCGCAAAAAAGAAGAACAGGAGTACTTGTGGCACCTTAGAGACTAACAAATTTATTAGAGCATAAGCTTTGTAGTCCACGAAAGCTTATGCTCTAATACATTTGTTAGTCTCTAAGGTGCCACAAGTACTCCTGTTCTTCTTATTGTAGTAGTGGAGATATAGCTGCAAGTTTTGCATCTATTGTTTTGGCAGGGTGGGGTGCTGCTTTGAGTTGGGGTGCCCTGGTCTGTGGAAATGGTCCCTTACAATATGTGCTAACCACTTACTTATGCTAAACAATCTGTTCCACTTCGCATGTTGCTGTGATGCTGGGGATTCATTTCCCAGACCTGAAGAAGAGCTCTGTGTGGCTCGAAAGCTTGTCTCTCTCACCAACAAAGTTGGTCCAATAAAAAAGATATTACCTCACCCAACTTGTCTCTCTAATACCCTGGGACTGACACGGCTGCAACTACACTGCCTACATTTTTATCATGACAGCAGGGCCGTCCGTAGCCATTTTGGTGCCCTACACAGCACCCCGTCCCCCACATGGAGGGTGCTGGCCCCAGGCCTCCACGTGGGGGTGGGGGTGAGGGGGCTGGTGCTGATGAGAGACCAGATAAATATTTAAAATTAATCCCAAACAGTAGTAATTTTTAAATCAATGGGTATTCTTCACATTTATAATCAGGCAACTTATTTAGGTGCCTAAATAAGTCTGAGCACATATTTTTGAAACTCTTTATTAAAAAAACAAAGTAGATTTAGAAAGCACATAATAGGTCATTAACCACTAGTGTGACTTTATTATAATTCATTAATATTAATTATCATACATTTCAGGTGAAATATTCAATATTTAACAATGTTTTATTTCTATTTTCAGAAGAATAATAGCTACAGTAACGTAACACAGCGCCAGTTTGCCCCCACAGGGTGGAACCCTACCTAGGAAGTGATGTTTCCTTGGATCACTCCATCAGGATGGGTGGGAGATTGCCCCCAATGTAATGAGCAGAGGGTCTGGTTCATAGAACCTGTGCCATTCTGTTTCCCACTCTGTCTCCCTGGCGTTTGCCAAGGTCTCCCCTTGCCTACTGTAATCCTGTTCTGTTAAAGGGGAGAGCAGATGCACCTCTGTTTGCCAGGGGAACATGAAAATGTAAATATAACACTCCTCCACACCCCACTTGCTGGCCCTCTCTCCACATGAAGTTCCCCAGATCCGTACAAACTCCTTTTGGGTGTGTGGATGGTGTCTGACATTTACCAAGTAAGATCTAGGCATAGGTTTGGGTTGGAGTGCGGAGTTACAATTCAGTTCAACTCAGCAATTATTACTAGACCAATATCAGAACTAGGTTACAAGCAGCTGGTAGATAAATTGTTATAATTCCAAATACTTGAGTTATTTCTGCATC